AGCACAAGCCTGGCCACCTGAGTCCAACCCCAGGAACCCACATAAAGGTGAAAGGGGAGAAACGACCCCACAAAGCTGACTTCTGACCTCTGTGTGCTCCCACACAAACACCACACACATACTAATAATAATTAAAATTTAAGGAATAAAAAGCAGCTATGAAAGTAAAGAAGATCCAGGTGAGTGGCACCCGCCTGTTATCCCATCACTTGGGAGGGCAGGGAAGGAGGATAAGGAATTCAAGGTCATCCTCAACTACATAGGAAGTCTGAGGCTAGCTTGGGCTACACGAGATTCCTTTCCAATACTCACAAAGTACTAGCAATAAAAAAAAAAAAAAATCCAAACAGGTGGGTGTGGCAGCATACACCTGCAACCCCAGCACTCAAGAAGCTGAGGCAGGAGGAGTGCCATGAGTTCAGGGTCAGTTTGGGTCACATAGTGGGTTCCAGTCCAACCTGGACATTCTTAAAAATAAACAGTAAAAAGAAGGAGATACATACTGAAATACAGATTAAATGAGGATGCCTGTGGCTCCTTCAAATGTTTGAGGGTAGAAATGAAGCTGGATGATAAGTCCTTGCAGACAGAGTCTCTCTACTTTCTATGTATTTTGCTTATATATATTTCTACTGTTGATTTCCCACAATAAGTAAAAACCAAACAGCCACAAGAAAAAGAACTACATTTACAAAGCAAACAGCTAACTACAGAACAAATACTTATACCGGCACGGTGAAGACAGGAATCAAAGTGGCCAGTGGCTCAGCTCGGTGGTGCAGACTGGGCTCCACCCAGCACTGCAGCATGTGTGTGTGTGTGTGGGGGTGTGTGTGTGTGGGTGTTTATATAAGAGTCACCGCAAGAGAAAGACAGCTCAGAAGCATTGCCGGAGGACACCAGCAAAGGAGACGACCAGCCTCAAACAGCAAAGGGGGTGGCCCTGAGATGCACGTCATTCCTGACGCTGCTTCTGGCCCCTTGCAAGGAACCCTCCTCTCCACTCCCAATTCACACTGTGCTAGCTGGGGTTGGACACATCCCCCGCAGGCTCATAACCTCTCTGGGAGTGGGGGCAGGGGGGACATCAGCCCTTCCAGCGTGGCCCATCCTTCCCTCTGTAGCGTCCATGTAGTCCCTCTCAGGAACAGCATAGTCATTGGACTTCCATGCTCATGATCCACTGTTCCACATTGTCATTACACAATTTCAATGACTTCCTTTTTCTCTCCCATCTCCAAAAATAGCAAATCACATTGCTTGCCCAGATTTTCCACCTGAGTTTGTTTTTCACTTCTGAGAGGAATCAGCTCAGCTGTGGAATGCTGCCTCAGCACCAAATGAATACGGGTATTTAACTCCAGGACACTCAGAGGCCGTTCGCTCCCCACCCTGACTGAATTCTGTGTGATGGGGAGGGTGTGGCTCACGATGTGAGGGTGGGAAGAGCTGGAATGAGCCTGGGGTTTGCACTCCTTATGGCCCTGAAATTTGGTGTGTGCTTACAGCCTGGCAGAACAAAGTCAAGCTTACCCAGGCTGGCTGGGGACTTAGTCTGGTCAGCTGCCCTGGCAGAGAGATCACAGGCTGTGCCGTTTGTAAACTCATAAATTTATTGTCCACAGTTCTGGCCCAAGATCAAGGCACGGGCATACCGTGGGGGGTGGTAATGTTCCCCCTGTCTGTTTCACAAGGGCACCCTGATCTGCTGATCTCAGTCACCCCTTCACCTTGGTTCCTGGTTACTTCCTGAAGCCCTGCATCTTCACACTTGGCACTGGGGATTAGCTTTCCACCTGTGGAAATGTTTTGGCGACACAGACATTAGATCATAGCAATGGGTAGATTTCCCCAGAAGTAGGTGTCGGGAAGGGGGACTGTGTAAGTTACACATGGATGACTTGGTTTCTGCAAACCAAGGGGTGTCAGTGGGAGGAGCAGCTGACAGGGCTGACCTCACAGCTCAGCCTCAGGAGGCTGCTGCTCAGTTTATGCACAAGTGTTGCAATCAGTAAATTCCTACTTTTGTTTTATTTTTTCTTGAGCTGGAGCCTAAGGAGATCCCATAGAACTCAAGTTACAGATGGTTGTGAACACCATGAGGGTGCTGGGAACCGAACCCAGGTCCTCTGCTAGAGCAACAAGTGCTCTTAATGGCTGAGCCATCTCTCCAGGCCCTTTCCTTGGACTTTTGACCTCCGACCTCTACGTTCTGAGGGTTAGGGTTCAGGTATGTGCCACCACTTCTAGTTCATGCTATGTTGAGAAGAGAATCTAGGGCTTTAGTCCTAGTGGTGCACATCTGTAACACTTGGAGGCAGAGGCAGAAGGATCTCTGGGAGTTCAAGGACAGCCTTGTCTACTTAGTGAGTTCTAGCCAGAGCTAGAGTGAGGCCCTGTCACAATGAAAGAAGGAATCCAGGGCCTTGTGAATGCTAGGTAAGTGTGCTACCAACGAGCCCCACCCCCACCCTGAAACTTCATTTTAAAAGGGGCATGCCAGGTACGGCTTTACACCTGTACTCTCAGCACCAGGGAGGTGGAGGCAGGAGGATTGCTGTGAGTTTTGAGGTCAAAAACAAGAGGAAAAAAGAAGGAAGGGAGGGAGGTAAAGAGGAAGGAAGGAAGGAAGGAAAGAAGGAAGGAAGGAAGGGCAGAGAAGGAAGAACAATGGAAGAAGTCTCTAGGAGTTCATAGTGTCACGACCTGAACCTTTTAATGTCCATTGCTGCCCTTCACTGACTACAACCCCAGCTGTTCCAGGGCCCGCTCTCCAGGGTCCGCCCTCCAGGGCTGCTCTCCAGGGTCCTCCCTCCAGTGCTGCTCTCCCAGATGCTGATGGAACCTCTGGTCAGCTGCTGGTGCTGCCTTGGCTTCCTTCCTCTCCTGTCACCAGGGATTATGGCTGGGATGTAGGCCGAACAGGGAAGATGCAGGCGGGGTGCTGTGTCCCCTGGAGTCACCCAGGGCTGAGCCACGCTGCATGTCCCCACAGAATCTGTCGCCTCCCACCTGGGCTGCATGTTACTACTTGCTCCAAAAATCTGCACCCCCTTCTCACACCTTGGATGGGACCTAACTCCCCCCCAGCTCCTCTAGAGCTCCTCCCATGTCCCCTCCAGCCTCCTCCTCCCTACAGTGCTCCCTTCTGAAGCCCTGAGGGCACACGAAGGGCCCTTTTCTGAGAACCGTGTGCACTGCTTTCCTGAGCTGCTCTGGACAAAGGTACCGAAGGAGGGGTGTGCCCGTGGTCAGCGGGTGTGCCCGTGGTCAGCGGGGCCTGGGGACACTGTGGGATGTGCTGTTCTCAGAGACTTAGCCACCACGAGTGAGGATGCTAGAGAGATGGAGGATGCTGAAAATTTAGAGAGAGGGGTTAACACGAGGCAACTGCTGCGTGAGCCGACATAAACAGCTGCTCCAAATATAGGGCGCCAAGCACAGACAATGCTGATTTCCACCAAAGTCCAGCTGGGGGAACCAATGGATATACTGGGTGAACTTACAGAGCGTGAGTGAGAGGCACTTAGAGGAGGCTGGATGACCCCAAAGCAGCTGCACCACTGAAAAGTCTCACCCCAGCGTGGACAACAATTTCTCTAAAGCTGCAGAGATGAGTTCCCTCTTCTTAACCTCCCACACATTATATGCCACAGTGCCCCTGAGCCCACGAGGCCACATGCAATTAGGGTAAAATTGCATGTGGTTAGGTGGGAGGTGTGGGGAGAAGTGGCTGGAATCTCAGGTAGGGTCTGATGACCCTCCCGTCCCTTTTTCTGTGAGGGACTGTCTACAGACAACAGGCCTGATCTCAGGGGCTGCCTACAGTGATCACAGCTGCCCTGATGTGCATGGTGGCTGTTCTGCTGGGAGGCTAGCATCTGCAACAGCATCCCAGAGTGTTCTGAATTAACTCCCCCCCACCATGCTTCTACCCCATCCTACACCACACACACACACACACACACACACACACCACAGAGGCACACACATAGCAAGGTCCTGTCTCTAAAAATAAAACAAGCCTGGTGTGGTGGTATATACCTTTAATGCTAGCACCTGAGAGGCCAAGACTAGAGGATCTCTGTGAGTTCAAAGCCAGCCTGGTTTATGGGTTCCAGGACAGCCAGAGCTACATAGTGAGACCCTGTCTCAAAAACCAAACAATACTAACAACAAAATAGAGAGGAGATAGAAGAGACAGATGTGCCCCCCCCATAGACTTATAGTAAGTGAGGGAGCGGTGGATTAGAATACCATCATTTGAAACCCCTAATGAATTAATAAGATACAGATCACTGATAGTGCTGAGGTCACCGAGAGCACACATGGTACTTGTCTCCAGGCGAAGGGTGGGCACCACCACCTGGGAAGCACTGCTTTCCGAACATGAAACAGCAGAGAGGGACGAGATCAGGATGCTAAGATACCTCAGAGTGGGGAGACTCCCAGGACAAATGACCAGAGCCACCGAAAATAAAGAACCCAGGGAAAACCTGGGCTGGAGAGATGACTCAGCAGTTAAGAGCAGTGGATGTTCTTGCAGCGGACTCGGATTCAATTCACAGAGTCCATCCATGTGTTGGTTCACAACTGTCTGGAACTGTCCAACTCCAGGGGATCTGACGCCCTTTCTGGCCTCCAAGGGCGCCAGGTATACATTTGGTACATAGACGTACACGCAGGCAAAACATCCATATACAGAAAAAAAATCTCAAAAAGAGAAAGAAAGAAGGAAAGGAAGGAAGGAAGGAAGGAAGGAAGGAAGAAAGAAAGAAAGAAAGAAAGAAAGAGAGGAAGGAAGAAAGGAAGAAAGGGAGAAAGGGAGAAAGGGAGAGAGAGAGAGAGAGAAAGAGAGAAAGAGAGAAAGAGAGAAAGAAAGAAAGAAAGAAAGAAAGAAAGAAAGAAAGAAAGAAAGAAAGAAAGAACTTATGCCATTCAGACATTCGTTCCAGGGTTGCACCCATGTCGCCAAACCCCAGAGACCACCAAGGAGCCGGTTTTTGATGCAAGCACATAAGGGTCTTTTTATTGTCAGGTTCGAACCTGGGCGAACCTGGGCCGCCATCCAGCAGATGGAGGGAAATGCGGCGGCGGCGGCGGCGGCGGCGGCGGCAGCAGCAGCAGCAGCAGTGAGACCAGGGGTAGGAGTTTCTAAAGGGAAAAACCACAAGCCGGGAATTACATGCCTTGGCATTTTAGGATTGGGTAGAAGGGATGGGGGCAAGGGGATTTTTTTGAAACTATTGGTCTAGACTTTCGGCGTGAAACCACATTTGAAGCTATGGGGTTAGACTTTTGGCGGGGAACCACAACCTGCTGAGCAGGATTATCTGGATATCTTCAAGGGCCATAAACCTCCGACAGAATGTCTGCAGGAGCATCTGGATCTTGTTAAACTTTGCTGCCCTGTTTCTTAATTGACTGTTTCTAGGGTATCTGTTGGAGTTGTCATGGCACATTCCTGAGGGTCTTCCTGGAACTGAGTACAGCCTCCGGTCACCAGGTGGTCTACGATGGTGGCCCTTCCCTAAGATGGAGTCTGTAAAGTCAAGTCTAGGCCTTCATGTTGCCTCCACACAGCAGGACACAGGACGTGGGGGAGGGTAAATGGAGGACAATGACACAATCAGAAAAAAAAAAAAAAAAAAAAGATGCTTCTAGACACTTGGAGACACACCATCTTGTTAATCTTTTTTAACCTTTTCCGGCCGGAGGACTGAAACAGGGTCTCCCCGTGAAGCCCTGGCTGGCCCTGAACTTGCAGTGATTCTCCTGCCTCAGAAACACAAGCGCTGAAGTTACAGGTCTGGCTAAAGGCTGGCTCTGGCTCTGTTTTTGTGTTCTACACTGTGCCTGGCCTGGGGGAGGGGCACAAGCGAGGGGCCTCTGCTTGCACCTCGACAGCGGTGGGGACCCGGAGGAGGGTCTTCAGGGTTACCTGCCCCAGGTGCAGTCGGAACCTTCTCACTGTTCCCACAGGCTGTTGTCCATATTTAGCAGGATTTTCTTTCAGCCCATTCCTTTGTCTCAGCCCCTCCTGTTCCCTGCTTTCTCTGTTCTTCCCGTTTCTCCTTCCCTCTTTCCCTTCCTTTTTTTTCTTTCTAGACAGGCTCTCACTCTAACGCCCAAGCTGGCCTGAAACTCATGATTCATGATAGAGTCCAGGCTGGTCTCCAACCCACCAGCCACGTGGTTTCCTTCTCACACTGGCAGAAATCTGTTCCCTGATTCCTTTCCCTCCCCACAGTCTTCCCATGTTTGAGAGCCAGTGGTCTTCAGCTCTGGCCTCAGCAGCCCGATACTGTCCGGGGTTCTCACATTCATGACTTTGGGGTTCTGTCATCCCTGCTGTCCAATCCAGTCTCAGAACAGTTGTCCCGTGAGTCGCGTGCTCTGGAATAAAATGATTTAATCTGGGTGTGGTTTGACAGCTTCACACAACACTGTACCTATTACCACTTTTCTTGTTACCATGGTGGGAACCTGGACACAAGAACTTGCAAGAGCCAATGAACACATTTAGAAATTTTTCCAGAGTGTGGGATGGAGCATAGTTCAAAGACGAACATGCTTGCCTAGCTTGTGCAAGGCCCTGGATTGGATGTCATCCGCTGTTCAATTACAAAACCTGGGGGCTGGAGAGATGGCTCAGAGGTAAAGAGTGCTTGCTCTTCCAGGGGACCTGAGAAGTTCCCATTACTCCTGTTACTCACAATCACCTGTAACTCCATCCTCAGGGGATATGGTGCCCTCTTGTGGTCTCCTCAGGCACTGCACACACACACACACACACACACACACACACACACGAATTAAGTCTTAAAAAATTACAGCATCATACTGTAGATGTAACCGTCTTGTTAAATAAACACAGAGCCAATTGCAAAGTTGAAAAGCCCAAGAGGTCAGAGCAAAAGCTAAGAGCTAAAACCTTACCCTTCACAGCTGCTGCTGTCCTTCTCTGCAAGAGACCTACATCCTGTGTGTTTGTCCTTTTTATTGCTTTTCTATTCTGCCTTCTCATTGGTTGTAAACCCAACCACATGACCTCCTCATCACTGCCCATCTATACAGACCTCCAGGTCTTCTATGGTTGGTATTGAGATTAAAGGTGTGTGTCTCCATGCTGGCTGTAATCCTTGAACACACAGAGATCTGCCTAGCTCTGCCTACCAAGTGCTGGGATTAAAGGTGTGCACCACCACCGCCCAGCTTCTGCTATGGCTTGCTATTAGCTCTGACCCCCAGGTAACTTTATTTATTTATTTATTTATTTATTTATTTATTTATTTATTTATTTATTTATTTTTGGTTTTTCGAGACAGGGTTTCTCTGTGTAGCTTTGCGCCTTTCCTGGAACTCACTTGGTAGCCTAGGCTGGCCTCGAACTCAGAGATCCACCTGCCCGGCTAACTTTATTTATTGGCATACAAATAAAATCACATTTCAGTACAAATAAAATACCACCATATTATACTTTCTAGGATTTCAATTACTGATGAAGAGACACCATGACCACAGCAACTTTTATAAAGAAAAATATTTAATTGGGGTGGCTTACAGTTTCAGAGGTTTAGTCCACTATCAACATGACAGGAAACATGGTGGCATGCGGTCAGACATGGTGCTGGAAAAGGAGCTGAGAGTTCTATATCTTGATACACAGATAACAGGAAGTGAACTGTGACATTGGGCATAGCTTGAGCATAGGAGACCTCAAAGCCCACCCCCACATTGACACACTTCCTCCAACAAGGCCACACCTCCTAATAGTGTTACTTCCTTTACGGGCCATTTTCTTTCAAATCATCACCCTACATTTTGGGCCATCAAGATTGCTTAGAAGATAAAGGTGCCCTCACACACATTAATAAAAACGAAGAAACCCTGCATTTCTACAAATTAGATACCATCTAGAAGAAAGTAAAACTGAAAACTCATTCTTTTCAGCTGGGCAGTGATGGCTCACACCTTTAATCCCAGCACTTGGGAGGCAGAGGCAGGTGCATTTCTGTGAGTTCCAGGACAGCCTGGTCTACAAAGTGAGTTCCAGGACAGCCAGGGCTGTTACACAGAGAAACCCTGTCTTGAAAAACCAAAAAACCCAAAACAAAAACTCCAAAAAAACCCCCAAACCAAAACTCATTCCTTTCTAATAATTTTAGTATATTTTATTGTCTTTTCTCTTGTGGTTATTTACATTATTATATTTGTATGCATTACACATCACAGAATACTATTGTTCATCTCTTCCAAACTATTCATTAAATGACATCCAATAGATAGCCTTGGCTATTGTGGGAATATTTAGACCATAGAAATTGACAAAAGTGTCACCAACCCCATCTCAACTATTGCCAAACACTACCACAACACTGAAACATGCCAAATCTTAGGGGTTTTGCTGTTGTTGATGTTGCCATTCAGCTCCTACTAAAACAGGTATAGCCCATTCTTTCTTGTGTATTCTAGGTCTCCTTACCATCCCATTTACATTTCATTCATTTGAAATCTAATTACTGATTTTTTAAAATGTATTTTATGTGTATGAGTGTTTTGCATGTACATATGTATATGCAGTACTTGCATTTGGGATGCCTGTGTAGATCAGAAGAGAGCATCAGATCCCCTAGAACTGGAGTGTGGATGGTTGTGAGCCATCATGTATGTGCTGGGAACTAAATCCAGCTCCTGTGCAAGAATAGGAAGTGCTTTTAGCTGCTGAGACATTCCCCCAACCCATGGATTTTTAGTCTTCTAACATTCATCCTGCCTCCAACTCCAGCTCCTACAAATCTGATGAGCATGCCTTGTGTATATTTATTTTCCAAGCATTGCTGAGGGTCTGGTGAAGGCTGGAGTCCTGATTGGGCCTCAACACTGTAGACATCTTGACAGCACCTGTCACTTGCTGTGGAATAATCCTCTTGTACACTGTAAAGATTTGTCACTCAAATTAGTTTAATAAAACACTGATTGGCCAGTAGCCAGGTAGGAAGTGTAGGTGGGCCAACCAAACTAAGGATGATAGAAAGGAGAAGGGTGGAGTCAGGAGATGCTAGCTAGCCAGCCACCATGTAAAAAATGTAACAAGCCATGAGCCACGTGGCAAAGCATACACAGAAATATAGGTTAATTTAAGTGTCAGAGTTAGTTAGTAACAAGCCTGAGCTAATGGCCAAGTATTTATAATTTATATTAAGCCTCTGAGTGATTATTTGAGAGCAGCTGGGGCACACAGGAAAACTTCCCTTTTCAGTCACTAGCTTGGTTGATTGCTACCTCATTTACAGCACCAGAATCTAGTTCCCATTTCTCCATCTTGCCCTGAACAAAGTCATGAAAACTTCATGAAATGCTTGACTGATGGCAGCGTGGTTTGGATGTCCCCAAGCTCCTTTGTTGGTGACCTAGTCAAGGAAGAGAGGAGAAACCTGAGCCCTTGCTTTCTTAGGGACTTCACCAGGGTCATATTACTTTGCTCTCTTGTAATACGACCCTGGTGAAGTCCCTAAGAACTTTACAAAGCTAGCCCATTCTAGTCTTGCCTCAGAGAGCTGAGGTTACAGACAATTATAGTTTTCTGTCCCTGCCATTTTTTTCTTCTGAAAATCATAATAATGTAACCAGTTTTCTGTTATGTCTCCGATTCTTCATAATGTACTAAATATCAATGACAAGTGTTTGGTAACCCCAGACCACATCTTCTTTAGTGCTAAGACATTATTTCTCCAAGCAGGGAGTCTTGAACTCAATTGGAACAGTTCTGATTTCTCACTTTCTGGCTTCCATTTCCCCTGCCCAGTATATGTTCCCTTTCTCTGCTCCTCCTCATTCAGGGAGGAGAAATGTCTCATCCTGAAAACCAGAAATAAAGAGAATTAAGAGCTTCTACGTGTCCACCATTGACACTTCTGAGCTTTGAGTGCTTCTCTTTGCTTGATATCATTCCTCACACTGGAATGGAGCATCAGAGGACACCCACAACATAGCTTCAGCCTTCAGTGACAACTGTGTCCCACGTGGACTCCCTCCAAGGCAGATGTGGCAATCCAACAGTAGATGTTAAATGAGAGATCCCCAACTTGATTACATTTAGATTTACCATGGAAACATACCTCTGGGTGTGTCTGTGAGGATGTTTCCAAAACAACTTAACTAGGAGGGAAGACATACCCCTAATGTGGGAGGCGTCCTGTGGGCTGGGGTCCAGGGCAGAATAAGGAGGAGCAAGCAAACTAAAACAGCATTCACCCCTCTCTGCTTCCTGACTGTGGATGCAGCATGGCCAGCCACCCCCACCATGATGATTGCACTCTCGAACTATGAGTCAAAAAAACCCCTCCTTCTTCAAATTGCTTTTATCAGGTATTTTATCACAGTACCAAGAAAAATACTAATATGCTGACCTTCCAGGTGTTATGATACCATAGCCTTGTGTGAATTTGTTACAAACACCTTACCTCCTAACATATAGCATGGTATAGTGTTTCTATGATGACTGAATTTTTAATTAGTTCTGAAGTTTTTTTTCATGTTGAAACTTTGAAAGAAAAACTGTACATACTTATGAGATCTCACAATCTATCAAGGGGTGTGGGTGTGGAGAAGTCCGTGTATTTGGGAGCTTTTCCTTTTCATTTCTCCTGGCTGATCTCTAAATTAAAGGCAATTTCTTTATATGGTTGCCTCTTGGCATCTGGAACCATTTTAATCAGGGACTCTTCAAGTTGCCTTGTGTACAACTTCCAAGGAAAATGCTTATGATGTGAACAGGTTCCAGCCCTCAACTTGAAGATATGAACCCATATTTCCCCCCTCTGCTCTGCCACAACTGTGGAATCTTGGACAAATCTCCTTGTCTCTTTTATCCATACTCAAATATTCCAAGTTCCTTCCAATTCCCAAAGAACTGAGCAGTGTAGACCCAGCCATCCAGTCTGTGGTTTTTGGCTGTCTCCATCCACTCTCTGAAGCAGATGTGTGAGTGTGCAGGTCTCAGGGTGGGTGGGGTAGCTGAACTGGGGGGGTGGTCTCAGTAAGGAGAGGAATGGGAGGAAGAATGTTCACAGAATTCTTCCCAGGTTTCCCACAAGAAGTAATTTCAAAACAAAACGAAGCCAACCTATCTAAACAAGATAATGACAAAGGAGAAAAATCCAGGTTTTCGGCCAAATCCAAACCATTCTTCCTGTCCCTACAAAGCTATCCGAAGTGAGATCTTATTAGCAGCCCTCATTTCCAGTAAACATCATTCAGAACAAAAACGGGAAGCTCCTGGGTTCAACCCCTGGAAAGAGTCCCAGAGGCAGGAAGATGGTGGGCTGACATCACCCAGACAGCTAGCCGGAGGAAGGCTATATGCAGAACAGCTCAACTACAAATTCTCATCT